AAACTCTTTGTTGTTGTTTGTTTCTTTCGGAGTCAAACATTTTTGAAAATTCTTGTGTAAACCTTTTCCAATTTGATTTTATTTCTATAGGCAATACTGAAAACCATTTTTGGGCTGCGCCATCTAAAGTTGTTTGTATTAACGCTGTGCGTCGATGTATCCAGTTTTGATGTAGTGGCGTATTAATTGGTTCAGGTCCTATATTTAAAATCAAATTTGCTGTTACTGCATTTAAATAATCTTCTACAGAATATTCAGGGTCTGTTCCTGTGAATACCATTAAAGGTTTATTTGATGTTATTGATGATCCACCCATAAGGTATGGATTCATAGTCATTTGTAATGATTCTGCTGCATTTGGCATTTGAGAAAAATTTGAAAGTTGATTTCTTGTTATTTCGTGTTGTTGAAGATAATATGGGAGTGGTATTTCATTTTGCATTTGTGTTGGTTGGTACGAGTTTGCAATCATTGGGTTTTGTTGCTGAATTGGTTGAAAAGATTGTGTATTAATTGGGTTTTGTTGCTGAATTGGTTGTTGATTTTGTGTATCTATTGGTTGTGGAGAAAAAATTCTATTATATGTATGTGGTTTCTGTATTCCTTGTCCACGATATTCTTGATTATAGGGTGCAAATATATCTGGTTGTAAAAAATCATCATCTGAGGATAAGTAATCCATTTGATAAGATGTTTGTTTTTTATTTTTATTTTGTTGAAAAAATGGATAGTTTTCACTACGATCCTGTGGAGGATGTAAATTTGTTTGGAAATTTACTGAATTAGGTGGTGCCATTGGGTTATCCCAGTTTCGAGATCTTGTATAATTACTAAATTTTTTTCGTGGTTGATAATTTGTTTTTGATGGATGTGTGTAATTATAATTATGGTCTGCAAAGTTGTTTCTAGTGAACGTTTTGCGTGTTTTTGGCGGTATTGTCATGGGTCTGTATGTTTGGTAATCCATGTGTGAATATTTTGGGGCAACCGAAGGTTTAACGGTTGATTGTAAGGTTACCTGTGTTTGTGAAGGGTTTGTATTTCTTGGTGTTGTTAAGTTTGGACGTATTGGTGAAATACTTTGTTGTGTAGTTGTTGTGTGTACGATTTCTTCATTTATGAAGTGTGATGGTGTCTGGATATCTTGTTGAGTAAGATTCCTAGTTCCATTGAGGTTTTCATTGTGTATGACTGTAGAGTTTAAACTATTATTTTGCATATCGGGTAAAAATGTATTATAGTTTAATGGTGTTGCATCAATGGTTAATGGTATTACTCTTACATAATCTCTTACATAAGATATCGTACTTATTGCTTGACTTGAGATTGATTGTGGGAAGTTTATGAATGCGGGATGAGACCATTCGGGGTCCCAAACATAGTCTGATTGTTCTGTAATGGCAGTATCATCGTTTGAGTTTTGGGGTCTAAAATTTTTTCTTGCTTGTGAAATTAAATCAATATTATGTGTGAAATAATCTATTATGAACCATGCCAAAATTTTTTGTAAGTCGTGTTTTGTATGTTGTGAAACTTCATCTTTCGTGAAATTTTCTTTAATTATATTTAGAAAACTAGAGAGTAGTGTGATTTCATGTCGTACTCTTATATGTTTAGATGTTTCTGTCGGTGAGACATTTGGTATCTGGATTTCGTTTTCTAATATCGAGATATAACTATATATTATCGCAAAAACTTCATTGGTGAATATGGAGTTTGCTCTTTGTGAGTTATGATATTGGATGCTTTTTATATATTCTGAGAATACTTTTGAAAATTCTAAATCAAGGTCGTCTGTTTGAATTATATATTTACTGTGATTCTGGTTTGGTGAGCTGAATTCTATGGAGTAGATTCCGTATTGTTGTGTTAGGTTACATATATCTTTTAGATAGTGATCGATAATTTGTCTTTTGATTTTTACATCTGGGAACTCTGTTTTACATGGACTGATTCCGGGTTCAAACAAATTTAAGAGTAAATTTTTGCAAAATATATGCTGTCCTCTATCAGTGGTTGCATCTACTATAAAGGGGAAGATATCATCATCATCTGGACTTTCTTCACCTGGGGTGTGCGTTGAGCTCATTTTTTCGTTCGATGACTGTTCATATGTAATTATCAATGTGTCTAATTGGTTGATTCCAATTGTATAAATGTACTGGTTTGTGTTTATACTGCTTTTTTATTCTTCTTTTTCCTCTTTTTGATGAATTTGAAGTTGTTTCTGAGTCGGAGAAATATAATTGATCGTGAATTGGGCAATTTTTATCTATTGATTCTTTTAGTTTATAAAGTTCGTCTAAACTGTTGGTTTCTGATTCTGAAAATGCGTTTCGATTTTTTGAAAATCTTTTTCGTGTTATTTGTCTTTGTTTAGTTATTATTTTTCTCTTTAGTGTTTGTCGTTTTGTTCGAATGTATCCAACTGTTTGTGTATGAGGTGTGATTACAAGGTCGTATTTTTTGTTATCTATTTCACAATTGTGTAAAACGATTGTTTGTTTATTTCCTAGGTTTTTAAATGACATAAGGTTAAGGATGACGGATGCAAAAGGTTGTTAAATGATTTCTATTTGCTTAAACTGTTAGTCCTTACGATTTTTTTGTTAGCTTAACCTGGGTCTATTTGTTCAGGGTTGGAGAGAAAAGTATATCTATTCCGAAGAATGATTTTTTACTTTCTCGTGGCTAGTATAAGCTAAGGTGTTAACTTACTTTATCTTACTTAGGGGTAGTGATTGTGTTCAGGGTTGGAGAATAGTAAATCGATCCACAAGGTTCAGGTATAATTAGAACGCGAGTAGTTCGTTAGATACTATTTTAAACTTACTAAGTCTAAGATTTATCCTGGGTCTGGTAAGAGGGGGGATCAAGTGAAGGATGAATAACCGAAGTTCTTCACTGTTTATCCTAATTTGAATGATTAGTTTTGTTCAAAAATTTCTATTAGTCCTGGGTTTTTAGAAAGGGTTGGATAGTGAATCGACGTTTGAGGTCGTTAGACACTAGTTAAGTGGGTGGGGGAGAACAAAGTTGTTCTTTTTGATCCAAGGATAGGCCTTGATGATCAAGTTTTAAATTTAATTAAATAGAAAATTATTTAAGATCCAAGGATAAGCCTTGATGATCTGATTTTAAAATTAAGTGAATTTAAGTTTAAATAATGATTTAAATTTGTGTAGAGAAAAGATTTAGTGTTTTTATGATATTAGTGAGCTTATGAATGCTGTTATGTTTAGGCGATGAAGCTGGAACAACAGGATGATTTATAATTACTAACCATTTACTGTCATGCTACTAATTTTTATTTTGATTTTTCAATAAATATTTTTCAAACATGTTTTGTATATTACTGCAGAATTTAGGAAAACGATCTGAGATCTTTTTATCAATCGTTATTGTATATTAATAATTTTGTTTAGCGCCTGAAATGATTTTGAACATTGACTTCAAAATTTTATGTTTGCAAATGAAAATCTAAATTCATTGCTAGTAGTATTCTAAATACAAAAGTTTGTGTTGGCTTTTGCCGAACTATCATATAACTATATGGTAAGTTTCTACTTTGTCGTATGTCGTCTCTGGTTCGAGGTCTTCTTCCAATTCCGGGTAGTTCTGTTATCGTTCGGAATATTGGCTCTGATCTATTGAGTCGTAGAGACATTTCGATTAAATTATCGTCGTATAACATTTTGTAAATGTTTTGTCTAAATTCTAATCTATTATTGGTTAATTCTAAGCTATTAAGGTATTGTTCGAGACTTATGGTCGCACCAGATGAGTTAGGACCGATGGGTATAACTCATAGAGTAATTTCGGATAGGGTACACCGTCTGCTCGTCACGCTATCTTATTTTCGGCCGGATAGATTCGTGCAACTTCTTAGTCTAATACCGATCCTAATCTTACTCTTATACTATCTAGTCTCAGGTTGTTTAACTAGTCTCTGCTAGGCTCAATAGATCTAGGGTATACTGGTTTATTGCGGCTGCTGAAGTACTCGGGAGAGTTCAACTAATTTCTAAGTTAAATTCAAATCTCTCTGGTGCTGAAATTACAAGTAATTTCAGCACTTACAAATAAGTGGATTGTTAGCCAGATGGATCATGATTGGTTAATATTAAATACTTTACATTGGTAAAATATCTAATTTATCCAATCATAAAATGTAGTTTAGATCAGGTTCCAGTTAGTTCATCGTAGATAGTAAATATTTTTTCAAAATAATCTTAGTGAAAAAGGTAGACTTTTTTCAGATTCGTGGTTTTCGTCCTAATTACTATCGGCTCTTTCATTTTTTAAATTCAAATGCAGTTTTTAAGACTAAGGAACGTAGTGAAGACTTGTATAGGTCGTAGTGATTTTTTTTGTTTTCATTTTCGGGAAACTCTTAAAATGCTCTAATAGCTACAGATGTGCATTCTTTCATAATAATGCATTTATGGATGCACTTAGGTATAATGCACTTTTTGAGTTCAATTGAAATTCATCTGCTGAAGGTGACGTAAATAGCACTCTCCAAATACGAACGTGGAAATGGCGCAAAAAAATCAGCTTCAAGAAAAACGCTCTTGAAATTTTTCATTTTTAGTCTAATTTCGAGCGAATAAGGTGGGCGAGCAGGCTTACAATGCATTATTTTTGCTTAATTTAAGCCGTGAAAAATTGGTTTTCTTCAAGTTAAAATAGTTGTTGGAGCTTTTTGCGCCATTTTGGAAATCAAAAACTTTCCAAAATTTCTCTCAAAATTCAAAAAAATTCTGCTAAACAGTTTTTTTTGGTTTTCGTTTTTTAGACATTTTTCTTTAACAACTGGTTTCCCCTTTGCATATTTTATTATGACTCTCAAATATGCCTAGTTCTAGTTTTCCATTCCAGAAAGAAAAAACCTTTTTTGTATTTTTTTTGTAAGACTATGGTCGGAGCATTCTGTGCTTTTTCCTCAGTAACCTAACCGGCTATCCTTGTTTCATTTTGTGATGTGTTTTGCGGTGTAGGATGAGCTGTACGGTAGAGTGTGGGCGGCAGAGTCACGTGCAGAGGTTGGGGAGAGAGTGACACAGATTGTGAACAACTTCATCATCATGCATGAACAACAACAACGACAGGAGCACACTCACAATCGACTGCTGACCAGAGTGAACAACAGCAAGAAGAAGAAGAAGAATAGAGAAGAGAGTGAGAAAAGAACTGAAGAAGAAGAAGAGGAGACATTTGGGAAGGAGAGAGAGATGAGAGAAACAAGTGAAAGAGAGTCTCCTCTGAGTCTTCTGCAGAAGAGACTGCGGGAATGCTGCCAATGTTGTCACTTCTGTTGCAATAGTCGCCACCCAACAACCACAACAACAACAACAGCTGGTAATACTGGAGAAGATGTAAAAAATGGTGACAACTACTTCAGACTTCTACAACTCACAACAGATGCCAGCAGTAGTCGATACACTTGCATGAACAACAAGACAAAGAAGAGTCCTACAATGATTTCTGCGAGTCCACTTGTTAGAACAAACGCAAACAACCAGCAGCAGAGCTTAGCTTCAATTGGTGGCATTGAGTTGAGTCGACCAAACCAACAATCGGACAGCAAGTGCAATAGAGTTGAACATTATCAGTGCAAACAAAACACAATCAACAACACTACCACAAGTCAAAGTTGGATTCCATGTTCTGAAACTACTACTAGTCCTCGTGATGCCTCTTGTAATGGTATCACAAGCACTAAAAGGGAATCGCCACCAGAAGCGGGATTGGAAAATAGAGGAGGAGAAGATAATACATGTGTGCAGTTGCATCAAACTGGACCAGATTGTGTGAACAGCTTTAATTGCAAGTCATCATCGTCATCTCATGCTTCCAACTCCTTCTGTTCCTGCCAGGGTCAGAGTGGTTGTTCGTTGGGAGTGTCGATCAGTGAGTTGATAGACCTCATAGTGGAGATGGAGGTAGAAAGTAGCATCGGGATGAGAGAGTGTTCCATGACAGAGGACACTGGTCACTATTGCAATAATAGAATGGATGGCAGCAGTTGGAGTGAGAGGACAGAGTGTAATGGGAGCAGTAGGAGAGTAGGGGGAGGGGGAGGGAGTGGGGGTGGGGGAACTGGCAGTGGAGCTGGAAGGGGAGTGCGAAGTGTGAGTTGCCAGACATTCCCAGTGCCCCGTGGTCTGCTGTCCAGTAACAAGCGAAAACAACAACAACAACACAGCCTCAGCCAGAAGAGTTTTGGTTGGTATTCACAAATTTGAACAAACTTTTTTTGGCGAACTTGCCATGGGCCATATTCTTCTCCTGTTCAAATTAAGCAGCACAATTATTCGAAATTGGAAGTGACATTTTGCGTGGCCCTAAATAGTTTTGTTTTATAGTGCGATAGGGATAGTTTTTGTTTCGACCACAAAGTCAACAGCAACTAAGGATTCAGGCGTGTTTATTTCATACGATTGGCTCTTCGGAGAGACTCGAGTGAATACAGCCTTTGATTTGATCGTTCAAACAATTTTATAAGTCTGTTGAGCAAAATCGGTGGTGATGGATATGTTAATTGCACTGAATACGTTATTAAATAGTCCTTAACGCCAAAGTCCTCCTGATACCAAAACCCCTCCAAAACTGTCTTTAAAACTAAGAAAAAATTCCATATGCCGCTCTGATGATAACAATAATAAAAAAGAAAAGAGGCGGCCATCCTTGTTTTGCTTGGGTTCGCTTGTTTTTTTTTTCATTTTCGTTACTTCGTTTCTCCTCTTCGTTGTCGATGCGTACAAATATATAACGAGGGGGGGGGGGGGTAATTCTATAGGTGGCCTTACATGAAGTGTGTTTAGGTGGCAGCAGTGGCGGAGAGAGGGGAGGGGGGACTACTAGTAGTGGGAGAGTGTGTGCAGTAGTGGAGAGTATGGCGGTGGGGGAGAGCAGTGCCTCTGGGGACTGCAAACTACTGCTGGACAGCATCTACAGGGCCATACAACAAGCCAAGACATGACACAGGTGGAACAGAGACACAACACAGGCCATTACATTGGAACACCACAACACTTGATAGAACAGGCGGCCACACAGTGCAGTATGAGAGTAAAAGAGAGAGAAGAGACACAGATAAGACATACAAGGAGCACAGAGAAGGGCAGAAGATGTGCCATAAAATATAACAGAAGAGAAGAGAACAGAAAGATATGTGACATTGAAGAAAAAGACAGATTGTGCAATGGATTGAGTTGAACTGAACTGAATCTGCCCTCATATGCAAACACTGCACCCCCCTCTCTCTCTTTCTATTCTAAGGAGACGCATCTGAACTGAACTAATACTGAATTATACAATAAAAGTGCTATTCTGATTGGCTGCTTATTCTGCTATTAGCATCTTGCGTGCAGTTATCCATTGAACTATTACCAAACAGTGCATTATTGTATTATAGTCTGACCAGCTTGCTTGTTCGAAGCGCAGTGGTAACAAAGAGCCTGTTAAAATTGTGAGCAATTCAAACCATTTCTTTCTCTCGTCCTCAATCGTCTATAGGGGGAGCATTTTCCAGCTTATTCTCATGCCCTCTTATGGCTCCTGGCGACTTTTTTAAATCTCAAACCAATCTTGTTCTGCCAATTTTAGATAGAATTAGAGTAGATAATTGTTGCAATACTTTTACACATAAAATGTGGGATGAAGAATTGAAACAGTCGAAAGTGTTCTGAGAACAGCAAATATGTACCGCCTTAAATCTACCATGGTGTCAAGTGCTAACCATGTCCTGTTAGAAGCGACCATCTGAATAATTTTTTTTGCCAACATTTAATTCCAGGCATCAATAGATTCTGAAGTTGGTCCAATTTTGAGTCCATTATTTCCACGTTTATGGACATAGCATTAGATTGTAAATGCCACTTGTTTGTAAGTTATCATATAGTTTATAAGTTATGAAATATTTATCTGTTTTGTTTGTAGTATTTTGCATGATGATTTGGTGACTATGTTTTGTATTTTATTAGTTCTCTCTCTTAAAGAGTTTGTTGCTTTCTCAAATTGGCTTCGAAGGGTCTTCATCATTATTCCCTCCCCCTCCCCATGACTAGTAAGAATCAAAATATCGCCCGTACACTGTTATTTGACTATTATGTGTGCTATAATTTACTGGGAGGGGACTATAATGGCAAAGACCCGCTTCGCATCCTCTGAAATAAAAGTTTAGTTTATCTTTTTTTCAAAAAATCGTGCTACCCATATCCAATGCTCCACAAGTATTTGAGTGTCAGAGAAAAGAGGCAGTTTAGAATTTTCTCGGGGGAGGGGGGTTTGATTTTGAAAACAATTTCGAAAATTTCGTCGACCTTTTTTTCTACCAAAATGATTTCCGAGCGCTCCTAAAGCACTTAAAAAGCCTTTTTGCCCATTTTTTTTTGCCCAGCAGGCAAAATTTTGAAAAAACATGCCAAAAAGGCGTTTTAAGGCACTTTTTGGAAAAAACCGAAAGCGCTCTTAAAAATATTAGGGTCCATTACCAAAAATAGAAATAAAGGATACCTCAAATTACTACAAAGGGGGGACAAAAGGTTGCAAGGTTGCAAATTATGATCTTCGATTACAAAAGGAGCTGGGGCGAAAAGACATCATTAATAATGTGATGAATGTGTTCTTTGATTGTCGAAACTTGGAAAATTTTACTTGAAAAGTGCTTTTTGTTATCTTTAACAACTCTATTGATTTATTTAAATAGGTTAATCTGAGAGTAAGCTTAGCTTGTCACGTCAAAACGATAAAAAAACTACGCTTAGTCATTAAGTTCACATTAGACCGAAACTGAAAGTAATTTTTAGAAACTTACAGATGGTTGCTGAGCAAGTAACACAGAATGGTCAAACAAGAGTGTCAGCAATCGTAGCGAAGAAACTTTTATTGGTTGTTTTAATTTTTTCTTAATTCGGATTTTTTCGATTACCGAAGTTTGATCTTTACTACGCTTAGTCAAATATGCGTAGTCAAGTATGGCTTATGATTACGCAAGCAATGCTTGTGTTATAGTATAAACTATCTTTTTTATAACGTAATAATGATGCGACGCAAATATTGTTGCAATAAAATGTGTTCATTTTGAAAGTGTTCATTTTGATCAATGACAAGCTATTAAGTACAGTCAATGCTAAGGATATTAACACAGACTATTATTGTTGCGACTTTCGTAACGAAAGTAACGGAATATTTGTGCTCCGGGTGCTGTTTTCTCCAAACAACTATTGCCTTTTTAACTAGCCATGGAGCTTGAATTTGGTAGGATATTTCACTTGTGATCATTTTTTGCGAAGTTATGGGAGTTTAAAACTTGCCATTTTGGACAATTAACGCGCGATGAATTTCGCCCTATTAACGCGTAAAAAAAATATAATCCGTCAAAAAAATCGTTCCAAATTGGTTGAAGGAAGCTTATTTCAACTGTGAATTTTTTTTGTAAAGTTACAAGAGTTTGAAAATTGCCAGTTTTTCCCAGTAGCAGTCATAATTTTGCTTGTGCATGCGTAGTATAACGTCGCCTCTGGGTTTATTTTTTAGGTTGAATTTATTTCGTTTGCTTAAATGAAGGCAAATTGAGCTCTCCAATTAAGAAAGCGAAAACACGTGATTGATTTCAATTTTCTTTATTTTTTGTTTTTCCAAAAAACTTGAAAATTGTTACTATTTCCAATCTTCTTTAATTCCGCAAAAAATTGTTGAGCATAAAATATTCATGAAATTTCAACGGAAGCATTCAACGGGAAGTTTCAAAAAGTCAACTTTTGTTTGAAACTTCTAATTCTTGCTGAATGTGTTATGTGGAAACAACGCTATAATTGAAGACAAAGGTTTAAATGACTTTGTAATTTTCAACAAGTATAGCCGGTTATTGTGCAAGTAGCACAGAGTGTTACGACCATAGTCTAAAAATGTTCCGAGCATAGTTTTTTTTTCTAGTTGAGTTCATTTTGTTTGTGTGATGCGATCAAAAGATCTGAACAAAAACTGAAGCGTTGAAAAACCTCAGGCGCTAAAAATAAGCTTTAACGGATCAATTCAAGCAAAACAAGATATTGTAATATTGCAAACTCGCATTATTTGCTCGAGTGTAGACTAAAAATATGATACATCACTCATGACAAAAAATATATATCACTCAAACATGACTAAAATGTGATATGACACAGAGTTTTCCGATCTTAGTCTTTAGAAAACTGAGGTTTAGTTTTTTCTTCAAATTAGTGAAATTTTTTCTGCTTGTTGTGATGAAAAGACCTGACGTAGAAAAATATTTTACTAGTTTTCTTGCGTAAAACTAGGTCTTAAGTACAGCTGATTAGGCATAATTCAGCTGTTGTAAATCTGCTTTCTGGCTTTGTTTGCTCCAAATAAAACAAAAAATTTCAAACCGGTTTTTCTCGATATTGGGAAATTTCATTATGTTATCCGAATCACGACTGAAAGGGCTCTAATCTGATATATCACTCAACCCAGTCTACTGATTTTTTGTGGTACCTAATTTCGTGTAGAAAATGAAAAGAAGAAAAGTCAAGCACACGCGAATACATAGTTTCTCCCCATTTTCAATGATCGGAACAACTAGCTTAACGGTAACAGTAAGAATACATAACAGATGATTTTCGCTTTTATACAAAAATTGTCTGACCTGTTTTTCTTGACATTACGCATATATATGCTATGCTTGCTATTCTACGATGGCTACTATAAGATTGTGGCTTTTATAGCATCACTGGTTGGTTATAAGTGCAGAAGAACAGCCGGAAAGCTAACAGGACCGGAAAGCACACAATCAGTTCACAAAAAACCTGCCTGTCATCTATCAAGATATAAGGCAAAGTAGCTTAGATACAAAATAATTACTTTTGATAGCGATTAATTTTATGGTATAAAATCAGTTTAGTTCAAATTCCAGCTAACAAAACTTGAAGAAAAAACTAAAGAAAACGTTAAATTTAAATAGGAGAATGATTGCTATTAGTTGTTTTTAAGGAGTTCAGATTGAAGTGGTCGACGGCCAATACGGAAACCGTACGAATCGATCATTGTTCTTGCCTGTCTTTGTTCGCCGAACGATTACAACACATACCGAAAAAAAATCAACAGGAATCAGTCTGAGATCAATTCAACCGGCAGCTTGCTGTTAAAAAATCTTTCGCAGTCGTTACAAAATTGAAAAAAAAATTACCCAGAGCCTTTTAAATTCCAAGTGTTTTACTTATCTCAAATTCAAGCAATTTTCGATTGAAATTTCAAAAACTTTGATCAAACCGGATTGGGCAGCAATATTCATGCGTCGAAGAATTTGTGCTGTCAATTTTTTTAGTTACACATTGTCCGCTGCATTGACCAATAAGGCTTTTCGTTTTGGGTTTTTCGATTAAACAGAACTAGAATTTGGTTTTTTTGTACCGTAGGTGTTTTACACAGCTTGCGATGCAACACAAACGAAAAAAACTAAGTCCAAAAATGCAAATCCGGATAAAATGAAAAAAAACTTGACCAAATTTGAAAAAAAAACGAGTTTCAAGTTTCAAGCTTAGACAAAAAGTGATGAGGACAATCGTTGCTTAAAATTTCGGCAGAATAACTATGATGCAGTTTGTTTTGTGAAATTTGGGCACAAAAATTACACCAAAAACTACTACGTTTAGTCTATCAAAAATTACCCCAAACCTATTTGATCATTTACTGACGAAAATTACTGCAAGCCTCTTATGTAGCCCTATAAAACTTAAACTTTCGAAATTAAAAGTCGATCACGTTTTTCCGAGTAAAACCCGACTTTAAGGCAACGTATGTTGGTTATGTCACGTGGAGTAGCGTTAAAGTCCAGACAATTGTTCCGATGGTTTTTTCCGAAGCCTCAACAGATAGCTATTCAGTTGGGTGATTAACGCAAGAATACGTCATGATTTTTTTGTAAAGATTGTTTCTGTAACTATTTCAGTAGTTTGAGAGATTTTAAAATCATCGTATGAATTGTCTTTGATTTTGTATTAATCTGGTGGCATATAACTTTTTTTTTTGAAGGTGGTAACCAGAAAACTATGGTAATTTTAGGGTTGCTTGCTTGTTTTTTCTTGGGTGAAATTAGTTGTTATTGTAAATTATAATCACAATATTCTATTGGGTAGAAAAGTCTATTAATGCTCAGCTACTGACGTTTTACAAATCACAAATAGTTGCCAAAAATAAAGTAGAGAACAGATGTTATGAAACTTCCGCTGCTACATATCGTGATTATAGCAATAAGTGAAAATTTTAATGAATACTTTTATTCGCGAGTTAGGTTAGAAAAAAAGAAGGTTCGTACTAATACACTACGCTGATCGCTAGCGTAAATATAGCACTAGAAAAGATGCTATCAATGGCTATATTTTTCTTGACTTCTTCAAGCTCAGCCGCAGAAAAGTTTTCACTGAATCAGCAACTAGAGTGCAGCAATTAAAAGCGTCCACTGAATATTTATGAAAAACTTAACTTTTTGATTAAAAAATCAAAACAATAATGACCAGAGTGTTTTATTTGAGAAATTTGTGTACCTCTATTTATCTTGTGAGCAAACGGCAGTCATTATATTAAAACATTGCACATTTCAATTTCCTTTTCACTGATAAATTACAGCAAAAAGTCGCTGACTCTGATTGACATTTAATTACGTAGATAAACGCTTTTCAATTTTTTTAAAAAGTATGATTCAAGTGGCATTCTCATGCTTAACTAGACTCTAGTTGTGCTGCTAGTAGTAAAAAAAAGAGGAGAGAAATTAAATTGAACAAAAATTGACTGTTTGAGACTTTAGCGTGATATAGTGCACGGGAACAAATAGTTTGGTCCATCAAGGACACATTTCACAAACCCACACATTTCCACCACCCATCAAATTCAGCAGAGAAACTAAACAAGCATTGAGTCTTTTGCATTGAATCTATCCTAAATTTGAAGTGGATTCTTCCGTTAGATTCGCCAGAAGTTAAGTTTCGGCCAATCCACTATTTCTACTCGCTTTTGGAACTTGCCATTGAGGAGAGTTTTACCAAAAGTATCCCGAAATCTGTCATATTACTTGAAAACCTTCCTAAACGTTCGAATTATCTTCATCAGTCAATAAACAAAAAATCCAATCCGGTTATTTTGCAGATAACAAAAGTTTTCCAAATCAATTTTCAGGTTTTTATTTCAGTACAGTTACCAGCTTAGATATTCTCCCTCTTCAGCTATGACAGGGCCGCTATTGAGGGGGATTTCATTTGAGGGAGAGAGAGAGAGAGAGAGAGAGGGGGGGGGTGGTGGAAACAAGGTCTGTACAAATAGCACAAGGAGTAGAATTGCTTCTTAATTCTTTGAGAACAACAAACAATAATTTAATGTAAACAACAAAATAAAAATAAAACACTATAACTTTTGTTGGGAGTTTCTTTGTTCTTCCAAATGATGCCAGCTCATGTTAGAATAATTCACAATCATAGATCACTCGCCACTCTAGTGTGTAATCAACATGTTCATTGCAAGTGGGCATTTAGCATCAAGTATTCATTGTCTACTCGACTATTTCATTTATATTTGGACGTATCTGATTTGATCGTCAGGTATTTGATGCGCTGATCTGAAATACGCCCCAATCTTGCAATAGTTTGTTTAAATTACATTTCGTAGTAATTAATTTCAACCATCAGATTCAAGCGTTTTGGCCAAGTTAACTGAAGTATTCATTTGGGAAGCATAGCAGAAGAAATAAACCCTTTTCTATCTTTTGATAGCATTTTTTAAGAAAGTTCATTGACTTCCATCCATAATAGTCGTAAAGTATTGTTGAGTGGATGTGTAGTTGACTTAACTGAGCCCAAAATACTTCACATCTTGCTTCTATTTTTTAAACCGATTTCGCTTCAATCAAATCAAATTAAGCACACTATGTTGCAATGTACAAAATATAGTGCTATACAATTGGTTGTGCTGCACATAAACTGTGCCACACTGCCTTTGTACAGTACTGACTGCATTATATATCATTATATAGCAAACCACCATCATCATCAAATTAGTTTTTGTAGTTTTAGTGGAGAATCGAGTCTGCTGCTGCTTTTTCCGTCGTCTCTTCCTTTCTTTTCTTGTCTTTTCGTTTCAAGTGTCTGGGCAACACACGATGGATGCGAGTAAGAAACAGAAACGATGGCAAATAGTTTAAACCAACTCCCTCTCAATTGAACAGCCCACAAAATAATAACTGATCTTCTTCATCTGTAGATCTTCACACATCTCTCTCTTCTCTCTCTTTTCTCGCAGCATGTTGTCCGTTGTCTCAAACAGAAGTGGGTCATTGTGGGGTTGTAGATGGAGGGGGGGGGTTGGGTTGGTTCAAGTGTGAGTGTGTGGTGGTGTGACGTCATAAGACGTACATGTGCCTCATTGCACTACTCGTCTGGTGCTGCGCATCTTTGTGCGTCTAAACAAATAAACAGTATTAATCATACAATCCTTCCTCATGTCTAGAAGGTCTGTAAGCTAATCGGAGTTAATAATTTCGAACAGTAGCAAGGCGAAGAAATCGGACACTTTTCGACCGTTAGCCTTGGATGCAGCACGAACCTCACCCAGACATCGGGCTCAACAGTTTCAACTAGATTGCTTCCAATCATTGCACTGTAGGAAAAGTTTTACTCCGACCTATACTGTGGGTAATTTTATTGAACGCAGAGCAATTTCGTTTATTTCTTTCCGACATCTCAGTTTAATATCTTCCCAAAACTGATAACTTAATACGTCGTTCTCAAATAGTAAAAAAATACTCCTTTTCTGGATCGATCGGGTCATTAAAACGTACAGTTGAGTTTATAAAAGATGTAGATGTTATTATTGCAAAGAATTTAAATTGGATGCGACACATTAAAACAGAATGATCAAAATCGCTCAGAGGATTCAATTTAATAAAAAAGGAACCTCCCGAAGGCGTCACGCAGTCCACGAAAAAGTTTTTGCATCAATCGTTAATTTTATCAATTATTATGCTGCTCTGCGGCTTGGTGTCCACAAATATCCTGTTTGCAAAAATTAGAGTTTTCAGCGAAGAGTTACAAAATGAAGTGAGAGTAAAGACTATTGTTATGTTTACTCCTTCTGTTGAAATATCCCATAAAATCGGAGCAAACAAAGTGAAATTGAGCTCAGATCAGTCAGAAATGGAGGAGTTGAGTTTAGGCTTTTAAAAAATCACATTGACATAAATTTCTTCGTACGCGCACGCAGAGCCGCAAACGAGATGCTTTCTATGACAAAAAAAATTTTGCTATGATTTCAAACTTCATTGCAATAATTTAATATAAATAATTCATGTTCTTTTTTTAAGTCCCATTGCAAAAATAGTACGTCGTAAATTGATAGTTTAGTAAATAGTTGAATCCTTATTAATTTTAAGTAATCCATGTAGAATTTCATGAACTTCCTTCATTGGAATTCAGTCTTTTCTCACTTTAATACTGTTGAAAAGTGTAATTACCTCCTGAACTTCTACTAAACATTGTTGAGTGTTAATTAGGGTGTTATCAATTATTACCTGGAAGTGTATGCTGGTGCCGGTGGGGATCTTCAGTCTGTTCTTGAATGTCTCTCTAAACAAAACAGTCAACATACAATACTCGTTAGATATTTGAGCGATTGACATGAAAAGTTTCAAACAACGTGTTGTGATTTAGTATTTTAGTATGTTTTAACCTTGACCTCTATGTGTTAATCAAGTACCAGTTAACGTTTACTCTACGAAGTCCAGTGGACTTCGCGTCACTAGTTGCTCTTTTAAGACATCGGTCAGTTTTAATTTAATACCTTATTTTATTCTTTTTTAACTTAGTTTAGTTAGAATAGTTACCAGTGATATTTTCATACTTTTATTATGGCGCAGTCATCAACTGATTCGAATCTGAAGGGAATTCCCACCTTTTGGCCAAATCACACGATAGAACCACCCACCCAATGGAACAACTGAGTAGACCAATTTCATCTGGCTCTCATTGCTAAAGAGAAATTAGATATAGATAATCTATAGGAACCATTGGAACTGGAGACTACAATCCCTATCCTAGAAGGCGCCCAGGAGTCAGAAAATGAAACACAGAAGAAAGCCAGTGAGGCCAGAAATAAAGAGACCATGCGAGTCTACGAACACGCGGAGGATAAATGAATAGCCGAAGAGAAACAAAAATTCGGAGGCATGAGTTAAAAAGCCGACAAAAAAGTAAGATCAATCTTATATTTGGCCATAGGAGCGGAAGGAAAGAGAGTTTTTGCTCAAAAACACCCAAGGATTAAAGTCCTAGGAATCTCTTTCAAAGAATTTTTCGATCTACTGGAATCTGCTTTTATCAAACCGACAAACATTACGTTTGAACGATACAAATTGCTAAGCAGAAAACAAAAGGACATGGAATCCTATGAACAATTTTGAGGCGCACTATCAGACTTAGCAAGACCATGCAAAATTGGAATCAACGCTGAACAGGAGTGGATGATAGTTGTATTTATTTTTAACATGAAAAACTGTGATTTACAACGAAGATTACTCGCGGAAACTCTTAATCCAGTGGATGCACTCAACCAAGCTATCATCGACAAAAAAGGCTACTAAAACCATCTGAAACTAACAAACATGACTAGATCATTCAACACGACAAAAAATAGCGGCAGAGTGTACAAAAATTTTAATAATGTAAAAAAGGAACCAAGTTTGAACATAGAAAGATATAATACTTGTATGAAATGTGGGAATGCGTTTACCAAGGGTCACCCGAATGCGTGTCCGGCGAAGGAAATAATCTGTAACATTTGTAAATAAAGGACATTTCGGAAAACTGTGTAAATCGAAAGGAAGAAAACCCGCTGTAAATACTGTAGAAGAAATTGTAAATAGTCAGAATTGTTCATACTCCCCAGAAGATCCACAAGCAAGAATTGAAGAAAACTTTTGTGGCGTGATTAATGCTTGGACAGAAGAGGGGATCAGTGACACCGACGACTATTCCGTTCTTAACACCAGAACCATCTATGACACCAATGGTATGGAAACAAAGAAATTGGTTAATATTGGACTGGGAGACGACACGATAGTAAACCTGAACATTCCAGTAGATTCGGCGAGTCCAGCAAGCTTCCTGAAGCACAATCCTGCATAAACTGAAGTTGAGAAAGCCCCATTTGAAAATCCACCCAGTAGACAAGAAGACTCGTGAATTAAACTGCGGGTTTACCAACGATACAATCAACATCATCGGGAAAATTGTAGTTAGAATACAATCCAATGGATGGATCGCGGAAGAAACTCCATTTTTTACCACCACTGGACACGAGAGGAACATTTTGGGAAACGATAACTTACCACGAAATAGGCCACTAACAACCACTACTACCCGTCAACAACGTAACCCTTCCAGATTCGTCTAAGTCAAACAATCATTCAGACAATCCTTAATTTGTACCACAAAGACAAAGGATTTTTTAACAGAGTAGGGAAAACACCAGTGGACAGAAAAATCACTCATTTCCATTCCGCGTTCAAACTTATCCTAACCAAAGGCAGAAGAGTTCCTCTGCATTTACGAGATAGTGTAAAGGTGGAATTAAATAGAATGAAAAAAGAGGGGCATATTGTGAAACTGAGCAAATGTGACGAAGACTGTTTTATTAGTCCAACAGTGATAACAAGAAAAGAAGACGGTAGTATCAAGTTGGCTTTAGATTCGAAACTCTTAAACGGTCAGATATTCAAGAACAAATATCAAATGCCAAACATACACGAGCTCATCGACAACATAGCTCTCCAACTTTCTAACAAACATTCAGGGGAGGTCTGGTTTAGCAATTTAGACCGAAACAAAATGCGTACAGTCAATTACAATTATGCACAGACACTAGCAAACAATGTAATTTTAGTATCGTAGGTGGTGAACCCACCGGGACTTATAGATTTTTAACGGTTTTACGGACTAGGCGATATGCCAAACGAGTTCCACAGGGCGATGGATTTATTACTGAAAGATATTCGTTTTACCAATTGTTATATCGACAATATTTTAATAGCCTCAAAAGGATCTTTAAACGAACACAAAGCGATACTAGCAAAAATTTTAAACATCTTGAACAACAAGAACATGGCAGTAAAATGGGAGAAATGTGCATTTTTCCAAAAAGAAATAGAGTGGCTGGGATTCTAGATATCAAACTCGGGGGTGAAACCATTGCTGGTAAAGTCAGATTCTATAAAAAGCCTCCCAAACCCCAAAAAATATCTGAATTAAGGTCATTCTTCGGCTCGATCAACCAATATATGAAGTTCGTCCTGAACCTGTCAACCCTAAGTTCTCCACTACGACCACTTTTACTAAAAAATCAGTCTACCAATGGAACGACGAAGGCTTTCGAAGAACTAAAGAAACAGATCGTTAACATTACAGAGAACAATCATTTCGATATACAAAGGATGTCAAGATTAAAAACAGACGCTTCACACAGCGGTCTGGGAGCCACATTAGAACAATGGGACAGGGAAAATTGGTTAACAAAAGCATTCGCTTCTCGATTTTTAAATAGTCATGAAATGAAATATTCTAAAAACGAATTAGAATTGTTGCGAGTAGTTTGGGCTACAGAGCATTTTAAAAATTACTTGTATGGCGCCGAGTTCGAGATTGTAACGGACCATAAGGCATTGTTATCAGCCTTAAATGCCAATCAAAGTAACAAAACTATGCACAGCAGACTGACCCGTTGTGTAAATCGACTTTTACCATTTAATTTCAAGATCAAACACATACCAGGAAAAGACACGGGTTTTACAGATTTTTCTTGTCAAGATTACCTTCAGGAAAAGCCCTACCAACCTCACACTACGATAACGAATTTGTAGTGACAACAGTTAAAAGGATTGTAGATATCCTCTCTATAAATATTGATTGTAAAAAGAATAATTGTACAAAGAACGAATTGTACAATCTAGTGGATGTAAATAATATTAGTAACTTGGATTACAATAACCCAATGGGCGGAAAGAAAGAATTAACGCTAAACATCCAACGGTCGTTCTTCTCGAATATTCTTAACTACGTCAACGACACAATTAGAATTTGTAATTCTAATCACTCGCGTTCAGAGTCCTGTACAAGCGGTTGCATCCCATTAAACCTTTCAAAATTCAATTTTATTTACTTCCATATTTCAGACAAAACTTACCTATTTTTTTCACAGTCACTTTTATCAGTTAACCAGTCCGTAAATTCCGAAAGCAAAAAGCTATCTGTAGAATTTCTCACGTCTGTGAATTCGTTAAAAAATTCCCTTAGGGCGGAAAATAAAGGAATCACTTTAAACTTCGACAGATATTCATCAAAAATTACTCGCTAAATACAAGGGAGATCTGAAGTTACCAGACACTCCATTATCCTTCACCGAACATTGCTCAAACAAATTAATTACACTTATGACAAATAAGGACAAAAATCTCAAGGATGTTATTTTATTCCTTTTTAACTTAGTTTAGTTAGAATAGTTACCAGTGGTATATTCATACTTTTATTACAACGATTGAAAAGCTCATTGAAAAAAAACAGGACGAGAAATAAATAAAAACTGGAATGGAATCCAAACGCCTGATAAAAAAGTCGATTCACATCACAATTTGTTTAAAGCGAATTCAGGTTTAGAGAAAGCAGGGGCGGATTTAGGGGGGGGGGGGCGGTGGACGCCTCCCCCCCTCTCAGGGATTCGATCCCCTGCCGACCCAAAGGGTCCCCCCTTTGATACTTTCCACAAATCCTTTTTTGACCGACCGACACTAAAATTTTTCTAAAGGCGCCTTTGGCGCCAATAAATACTAACTTTGAGGGGGAGCGCGCGCCAAAAAAAAAACGCGAAAAAGTGCCCAAAAACGGCTTTTTTGACTGTTTCTTCAAAAATTTGCCTGCGGCGCATAAAGTTTAGCCGAAACAGGGGCAAAACAGTGCTTTGGGAGAGCTCAAAAATCAATTTGGTCGACCTAAAAAAAAAGGTCGTCAAAATTTTTTTTGACGACCTTTTTTGAATAATCCGCCCCCCCCCCCCCCTCGAGAAAATCCTAGATCCGCCCCTGAGAGAAAGTACAAGAATAGTATGACTTTTAAAAATGAAAATGACACAAGTTTTCCTCATCCTGTTAACTAAGTTGTTTCCGAGAGAAAGTCTAGTGCCCGGGTGCAGTAGCCTGCATTACAAAGGGCATCAAAGTCTAATGGCGACCTTCAACACTGGGTTCATTGTAAATGTTTCAATTTGGACCTGTACTGGACTTAACTGTTGATTCGTATCAGTTTGTCGTATATATTGTTTTAACAGATGTAGTGTGTTGCTGTGTGTGTGTGTTGTGTGGTGACTTGCCCGATGGAGTTTGTGGCGTCCTTGTCTGTGGTGGTGATCCACACGGCCACTCTGTTGTACTTGCCCCTTATGCTCACCACTGCCCCCACCACCAGATCCCCCAGACAGTCCTCGAAGCCCTCCCCAATCAACAGCAGCACCTGCAGTTCAAATCACACAACACACAGCATAATACTTGTTCAGTCACTTTGCTCTGAAATGTATAATTAACTCAACAACTGAACACAAAAAGGTCCGACTTTGGCAGGAAAAAAGGAACATGTTGTCTCTGTGACTATGAGCACCTACACCGTAATAGAGGTTGACACGCTTTATCTGCTCTTTATTAAAAATTTGCATTCAATTTTTTTGGAAAAAAAAACTTCTTTTAACACTGGGAGAGATTCGAAGACGAAGAAATGAAGGCTCTGAAAACTCATTTAAATTTCTATCAAAAAGCGAATCGGTTTAGCTTTGGTCAGTATATTGTTTTGATGATATTAATGAAAAAACAGAGTCAGAAAAAAAAACAGATCAAATTACACAGCCTAACTAGACTATGCAAGAAGTGCTCCTAAGCACCCGTCCGCCCCTAATAATTTACTTTTAAAACTTTAAATCACAAATTCTAGTAGTAATAAAACGTAGCATGCTGACTAATTAGGCTATTGCAAACATATTCCAAGCCTCTTAAAGCATTCGTTGTTCCAACTCACAATTGATGTGCATGTGAGATAGAATGGAGAGTTGGGAATGTGAAATGTGAAAAGAGAAAAAAAAAGAGAGAGAGGAGAGAGAGAGAGAGAGAGAAATGGGTTACCGTTTCGAGCCAGTACTTGTCGATGTTGGTTTTCTCATCCACTTTGGCCTTGTTGATTGTGACTATCCATCTGCCCCCATTCTTGTTGGCCGCATCCTCCCACGAGGGCTCTATGTTCTCCTTGAACAGCGAGTAGTCTGATCCCTTCGTCAGCTGATTCGCCGGCTGGATGTAGTTGAACAGTCTAAACAAACAAACACACAAACACAATCCAACCTAATTCTGATGAAACTTCTAACGACTAAAACAATAATTGTGTTCTTCTTTCTTCTTCTCTTTCACCCAGCAAAGTGTATGCCTCACTTCTGTAAAAGCACAACTCTGAGAATAAGGAGCTTCTAAGAAATATTTACAAACACAGTTGCAACACATTTTTACACTTAATACTGCAATATTCCACGACACTGAAGAAAACTTTGCGGAAGACTCGAACTGGGCAAAAAGTGTCAACAGTTTATATACAAACTGCCATTCTTAGTCATTTTATTAATTTCATTCAAGGTGAATCCTAAAGAATTTGTGCAAAACTGTAAAGAATTTGTGCAAAAGGTTGACGTGTTAGTGTAGTACAGGAGCCAGCTCAGCTGACGTTGTTGAAGCCTCGACTGGATTGAGAGAATAGTGAGTGTGAGCGGTGATTGTAAACGTGGTGAATAGTGAGTGTGAATGTAACTCAAAGCGGTGATTGTTAACGTGGGCGTTGAAGCACTTGGGACATCCATTGCGGATACTTGGGTCAAATCTGTTACGACAGGGACAGATTAAAGAGTAGTAGCGAAAGCGTCATTGGAGAGACTGGATCCGGACGTTCGTCCGAGTGAGAATTCAGTTGTGGCAACTTGTGAGTTGTTCAGTGAACAATTTCAGCATGGGGACAAAATTCAATGTATTTGGAGACTGCTCGTGCTGGGATCACTTACTGGAGTACAATGTATTTTGTTGGTATGGTTTCTTTATCGGTATACTCGTTGAGGTCGAACAAGTGGGTCACGTGATCCGCATTGTGACTTTCAAAGAGGCTTCTGTGCCTGAGAGAGTTTGTGGTTCCAAGTAAATATCTTCTTTATGATATTATGTGAAGCTCGTATACTATTGGGATGAGAGTTGCATCATATGGAAGGTAATGGGAAGAAAAAGGCGTTCAGTGCGTTATTCTTCTATTTAGGTCATTTTAGTGCAACCAGTTATAGCGCCGAGGGTGGTAATTGTACAGTTTGTAGCCTTTCAATTAAAAAGGTGTTAGCTGTAAGCTAAAAGAAGAAATTATTTCTCATCATAACAAATTACAATAAATACTTCACAAAAAGTTACAAGCAACATGTTTACTGTAAATTGAAACTCAGAGTGGGCAATTGACGAACCCATTGGGGTTACTGGGTGCTGCGCTATTATGATAGGCGCATGAAACCAGTACGAGAAAAAGGAAAAAACTAAACATCATTTCATGTTAGAGTAAAATTATTCATAGAGACATCGCAGCGAGAGCCTTACACAGTCTATTAACTATGAGGAGTTATTTCTTTGCCAAACAGTATAGACTAATTTGAGCAAAGATAATTTTATTGCTATAAAAAACGGTTTTGTCAGTTGAAATTCTGAAAACTGGCTAGTCATAGCTTTTATTAGCCGCTTCAATTACGAAAATTTAACTTGTTTACTAAGCAGTTACTGCTTATACTAGCTGTGCCCCATCCCCTAGAACCCTCATAACACCAAAAGAAATGATTGGGGGCTATATGGTCAGTGAAAACCTAAATGGGCTATTGAGGCAGTAGCCAAAGAACAAGTCCAAGTACGTTTTCTAGCCGCATGAAGCGGCTAGAAAACCACACGTTATAGTAATAAAATAATATGCATAAGATGTGCATATTATCATTGTATACAATTTATCAGTTGCGGCCAACTAAATCGCAAAAATAAATTCAATTGAATCTTCATTTTCTAAGATAAATCAGTCGCGTTTTTCGTGAGCAAGACATCCGAAAAAGAAAAATTTACAAGGTTTTGAACATCCGGAAAAAAAAGAAAAATTATCAAAATTTGAAGGTACCAGGTTGTTTTGTCGAAGTAAATTGAATAGCTCAGAACCACTGTAAGTAAGTGATGCTTTTCGTATCTTGCATTTGAGATTTGGTGTTTTCAAAAGTTTTCGAGCAGTAGTATTCAAAGATCATTTATTTAGGAACAAGAAGACACATTTTAGAAATGATACCACAATGCTTTCTGAGTTTCGTTCGGACCAAATCAATGAGAGAGGCGAAAGGAGCATTTATTGCTCATAGAAAGATCAGAAATAGAATCACTAATTATCACTAATTGATAAATTCATTTGAACAGTTTTACCCATTTTGAGCGTTAATCATTTATAATAAACCATTTCTATTTTTTAGTATCATCCTGAAAAGATGACATCACAAACTATGGGAAGGTCATTGATGTAAAATGAGATAAAGAGAGGCCCAAAATTGAGCCTTGAGGTACACTTAATTTTAGGCTGAACCAGAAGGAGTGAAAAATTTTGATTTTAACAATTTGCATTCGTTGCTTTCGGTAACGTTTAGACCAGAGTAAATCTCTACCACCAACACCATACATTTCTAATTTTTCAGATAATATAAAATCGTCGAGGGTATCGAACGCTTCTTTCAGGTCACGAAAAACAGATGTTTAAATTACTTGGCTTTTATCTAGACAAATTTTTTCAGTCATTTCTGCAATCGCATCAATAGTGCTGTTTTATACGAAGCCGAACTGCTTCACGTGAATAAAACGGCTATTTTCGGGAAACTCATATACTCTGTTGTAGATCGCTCTTTCAAAAAACTCGATACAGCTGGTAAAAACAGATATGGGCTGTAATTATTAGCAACAAGCTTCGATCATTCTTTAGAAAAGGGTAGACAACAGCTTGTGTTCAAAAGTGAAAAAGGTCCCGTTTCAAACAAAATATCAAATAGCTTTCTCAAAATGGTTTCAAATTCTGATCAGCAAGCTTTAAAAACTAAATTGTTGATTTTATCTACGACTCGAGTTCGTTGTTTGAGACAGGTTCATTCATGCGTTTCAGTAGGTTCTAAGAAAAGTTTATTACAGGGTTATGCTCCTTTCCGTTTGTTGTCTGGATTTTGCGCTGAGAAGAGTGCTTTGAGAATGAGTTTTGCTCGAGTCCTCGATTTCGGGGTTGTGTCAAAGGCGTAGAAAACTTTTCAGAGATAAAACATTGAGGTGAGTTTTGGTCGGTCAAAAAAAATGTTAATAAAGATTTGGAGGCAATTCAAACATTAAGTTTGAAGGAAACGTAAAAAAGTAGGTGAAAGTTGAGAATATGAAGTTTTGATACTCCAGCTTTGGAATTAGAAATCAGACTCATCATGGATAAACTCTCGTGATAAACTTTAACAAAATATTTTATTTCAGGGTTATGCTCCTTTCCATTTGTTGTCTGGAATTTGCACTGAGGAGTGCTTCAAGAATGAGTTTTCGTTGGGTTCTTGATTTCGGGGTTGTGTCCCAGGGGTAGAAAAGTTTCAAGAGATAAAACAGTGCGGTGAGTTTTGGTTGGTCAAAAAAGAAACTACTGAGAAATTGGAGGTAAATCTAATATTGTGTTTGATGGAAGAGTATAAAAAGTACTTGAAAGTGAAGAATAGTTTTTGATACTACTGCATCGGACTTAGACATCGGAATCATAATGGATAAACTTTCGTGATAAACTTTAACAAAACATTTCAATACAGGGTTATGCTCCTTTCCGTTTGTTGTCTGGATTTTGCGCTGAGAAGAGTGCTTTGAGAATGAGTTTTGCTTGAGTCCTCTATTTCGGGGTTGTGTCAAAGGCGTAGAAAAATTTTCAGAGATAAAACATTGCGGTGAGTTTTGGTCGGTCGAAAAAGAGGTTATTAAGAATTTAGAGGGAATTCAAACATTGTGTTTGAAGGAAGTGTATAAAAAGTAGGTGAACGAGTCGTTGTTGACTCAAACTATGGAAATTCAATTTGTCCAAGGAAGTCGACACTGTTGTTACATTGCAGTAGACGGAAGCCGTGCTAGTGTGATTAGGGTGTTCTAAGGTATTTGTTGAGCAAGGGATGAGTAATGATTCAATAGTTTTGATCCACTGTTGTTACATTGCAGTAGACGGAAGCCGTGCTAGTGTGATTAGGGTGTTCTAAGGTATTTGTTGAGCAAGGGATGAGTAATGATTCAATAGTTTTGATCCACTGTTGTTACATTGCAGTAGACGGAAGCCGTGCTAGTGTGATTAGGGTGTTCTAAGGTATTTGTTGAGCAAGGGATGAGTAATGATTCAATAGTTTTGATCCACTGTTGTTACATTGCAGTAGACGGAAGCCGTGCTAGTGTGATTAGGGTGTTCTAAGGTATTTGTTGAGCAAGGGATGAGTAATGATTCAATAGTTTTGATCCACTGTTGTTACATTGCAGTAGACGGAAGCCGTGCTAGTGTGATTAGGGTGTTCTAAGGTATTTGTTGAGCAAGGGATGAGTAATGATTCAATAGTTTTGATCCACTGTTGTTACATTGCAGTAGACGGAAGCCGTGCTAGTGTGATTAGGGTGTTCTAAGGTATTTGTTGAGCAAGGGATGAGTAATGATTCAATAGTTTTGATCCACTGTTGTTACATTGCAGTAGACGGAAGCCGTGCTAGTGTGATTAGGGTGTTCTAAGGTATTTGTTGAGCAAGGGATGAGTAATGATTCAATAGTTTTGATCCACTGTTGTTACATTGCAGTAGACGGAAGCCGTGCTGGTGTGATTAGGGTGTTCTAAGGTATTTGTTGAGCAAGGGATGAGTAATGATTCAATAGTTTTGATCCACTGTTGTTACATTGCAGTAGACGGAAGCCGTGCTAGTGTGATTAGGGTGTTCTAAGGTATTTGTTGAGCAAGGGATGAGTAATGATTCAATAGTTTTGATCCACTGTTGTTACATTGCAGTAGACGGAAGCCGTGCTAGTGTGATTAGGGTGTTCTAAGGTATTTGTTGAGCAAGGGATGAGTAATGATTCAATAGTTTTGATCCACTGTTGTTACATTGCAGTAGACGGATGCCGTGCTGGTGTGATTAGGGTGTTCTAAGGTATTTGTTGAGCAAGGGATGAGTAATGATTCAATAGTTTTGATCCACTGTTGTTACATTGCAGTAGACGGAAGCCGTGCTAGT